ACAACCGACATCACGACCACCAGCACAAGCACCACCAGCACAACCACATCAGCAGAAACACCAACATAACCACCACCAGCACGATCACCACGAGCACGACCACCGCGAGCACAACCGCCAGCGCAACCACCTGCACGACCACCAGTCAGCACGACCACCAGCGCAGCCACCAGCACAACAGCACAACCAAAGCATCACCGCCAGCGCACAACCACCATCGGCACCACCACCACCAGCGCAACCACTAGCACAACCACCCGCCAGCACAAGTGACCACCAGCACAACCACCAACCACCATCAGCACAACCACCATCAGCACACTCAACAGCGCAACCACCAGCACAACCACCATTAGCGTAACCAGCACCAGCACAAGCACAACCACCAGCAAGGCCACCCCAACCACCAGCACAGTCACCAGCGCAACCACCAGCACGACACAAGCATAACCGCCAGCACAACCACCACGAGCACCACAACCAGCACAACAGCACAACCAGCCCAACCACCACCAGCACAACCACCAGCGCAACCACCGCCAGCACAGCACGACCGCGGCAGGAACACTAGCAACAACGGTGGGAACACCAAGTGACCAAGCGATTGTGGTTTGATCTTGTGGGGGGGGGCAGTTTCGGGGCGCCTCTTGGGCTCCCATGGGGCACTCTTGGAGATCATCTCAGCTCAGCGCCTCCGAGGCTGTCCCAAGTGTTTCGGCGGAGCCGACTAGGGCGGCAATAAGGCTCGAAGACGGCCCCGAAACGGTCAACAGGGCCTCGGAAACGAGCCCCGACATAATCATACAAATGGCCTTTGGTATGATTATGTCGGGGTCTGGCTGGGGGCTCCTCTCGGGCTATCCTCGGGCCACCCTAAAGCTTTTTTTCGAAAAGGGCGGAGTGCAGCACCGAAAAGATCCGACAGGGCCGTGGATACCAGCCCCGAGAGAATTATATATATATGTGTGTGTATATATATATGTATATTTGTATAGATTGACCAAAAGGCCTAGGGCCATGGTATACTTACGTCGGGGGGCTGGTTCGGGGTTCCTCGTGGGCTCTCCTGGAGACCTCCTAACGCTTGTTTGAGGCCCCCGAAGCGGTCTTGGCGGGGCACAAGAGGGCTCCAAGAAAGGTGGGGTGCAGCTCAGAAAATATCAAACCGGGCCTCGGAAACCAGCCCCGATAGAGTCATACCAACGGCCTGGGGTATGATTACGTCGGTGGCTGACTCGGGGCTCCTATCGGGCTCTCTCTGGGCCATCCTAAACTGTTGCACATCGGGTAAGGTATCCGAAGCGGTCGTGGAGGGGCCCGAGAGGGCTCAACGACGGGCGGACCGCAGCGCTGAAAATAACCAACAGGGCATCGGAAACCAGCCCCGACAGAATCATACCAAAGGCCGTTGGTATGATTCTGTCGGGGGGCTGCCTTGAGGCGCCATTTCCATGTGGGCTCTATTGGGGCCGTGCTAAAACTCCTGGAGCTGGTTGTCCGTCCTCCCCCGCCCGTGCACGCGCGGGGCGGGTCCGCGCAGCCGGGCCGGGCTGACCTCGAACCGCCCCTCGGCCAGGTCGGCGCCGACGTCGTCGCTGAATTCCAGGCGGCAGCGCGTGCCGCTCCCACCCGCGGGGGGGTATCGTACCATGACCACCGTGACCCCTCGTCAGCATCATCGCCCCGGTGGCCTCGTCAGTGTCCTCGTCCTACCCATCGTACCCTCAACATCCGCCTCATCATCATCATCATCATCAGCAGCATCATCATCAGCAGCAGCATTATCACCATCAGCATCGTCATCATCATCATCATCATCATCATCATCATCATCAGCATCATCAGCATCACAATCAGCACCATCATCATCAGCAGCAACAGCACCATCACCATCACCCTGATCTCATCATCCTCATCCTGATCCTCATCCCACCCCTATCAGCATCAGCGTCATCATCATCATCAGCATCAGCATCATCGTCATCCTGATATCCTCCTCATCCTCATGGCTGCCGTCACTGCCATCGCTGGTCAGACGGCCAGATTGGACAGCGCGGGCAGGATAGATCGAGAGAACATGAGAGCGGAAACACTTAGAGCAGACCTCTTCTGGCACTGGACGCACCCTGGCCCCCCGGCGCCCGCGTGTCCGACGACAGGGATACCAGAATGAGACGTTGCTGGGAGCATGGGCAATGCGAGGGAGGGAGTGTAGCATCCGTTTCAGCAGTGGCGAACCACAGAGAGTGGCATTACGAATTGTCATTGCGACGTCGCAAAGTCACGCACGAGTGTCTTACACACTTCGAGCACAGCTGTAGCCAGAGATGCAGCACGAGAAACATGTACATAGCATGCGGCAGCATGCGCGTGAATGCGTGCTGCGTGTGCGTGTGTTCGTTGGTCATACATGGCATGGGCATGATAGGCACGTGCTCGGATATGCCTTTAACTTGTCAACGCACACGCGCGCGTGCTGTGTGAGGCGCCCACGCGCATCAAAGGCATCGTGATCACACCTATGCGTGCGAACACTCGCGAAGCAATTCAGAAACAACTAAATCTGCGCACTATGCGGTGTCCCAGGCGTCTGGGGCCCAAACAAGCTGGTCGCCCCGCTGGACCCGCGTGGGCACGTACAGCCAGTGCACTCCACAGACGTGCAAGTGCATCGTATTCCCTGCCTGCATCATGATGCCATGGCGCGTGCGCCCCGCGCGCTCGAAGTTAAACGAGCACAGGCTACGACACCCATTAGAACGAGGCGTTGCTAAGTGCTGCAGCACTGGATACCCCTGCGTGGCCAAAAGCTCACGCGGCGTGAGCCAGCGCTTGATCGCATCGTAAAAGATCAGCTGCGGGTTGCGGATCACGGTGCTGAGGAAATGGGGCGCGCTGGACCAGCCTCGGCCGTCTTGATAGCTCTGGCCCAGGTTGTGGCAGCAGCCTGGCACGGTACTCTTCTGGTACCCTTCGAGCTGAGCCAGCTCCCACTGGGTCAGACTCTGCACGAACGCCTCGCTGCCAGGCTCGACGTCTGCGAGCGTCACGGGCACTTTGTAGCGCATGCTGCCAGGCCGACTGCGAGCCCACTCCAACTCCGACATGAGGAGCTCGTCCGGCGTGGCCATGACGAACGCCCCCAGCGTGCACCGAAGCGTGCGATGAAACAAGGGCACGAGGTTGGCAAAGCTGCACCGCACCTTACATGGCAGCACGCGCGCATGGCGCAAGCATCTGACGATCACGCAACAACCCTGGGACCCTGGATGCCCGGAGCCGAAGACGCCACCACGATAGTGCTGACAGCTCTGATCGGATCGGATCGGTCGAGCGAACACACGCGACCACCTCGAGCTCCTCATCCTCGTCCTCCTCCTCCTCCTCCTTCTCCTCCTCCTCCTCCTCCTCCTGCTCCTCCTCCTCCAGCCTCCTCCTACTCCTCCTCCTCCTCCTCCGTCTCCTCCTCCTCCTCCTCCTCCTCATCCTCCTCCCCCCCCTCCTCTCATCCTTCCCCTCCTCCTGCGCATCCTCTTCCTCGTCCGTCTCATCCTCTTCCTCCTGCGTCGGGGCTCGGGGTGCGACTGAGGCTGGCACGTCCATAACGAACGTCTTGTGCAAAAGGATCATGAAGCGGCGCATGCGCCGGACAGGCCAGCCGAGCTCGGCTGGTTCGATGATCACACTCGACACTACATACATGTGCCCGAGCATGTCGGTCAGCACCCCGAGCTCAAACTGGTGCGAGTTCTCATGGATCACCACCGCTTCTTGCAGCAGGAGGCGCATGGCCACCCACGCTGCGAGCAGGCACGAGGTCTTGCCCGCCTCGCGGTCGTTGGTGCCGATCGGCGCCCAGTCTGGGCACGGGGCCCCAGCCCAGTGGACTTTCCCCGTCAGGTGGTGACAGTGAGCCTTGCACCTCGCACACCAGGCGAACGAGCGCACTGCCCCGCCACGCTTGACGATGGGCCTCAAGTCGTCGAGCGTCACGGCGCGGCCAGCGTTAACCAATCGTGAAATTGTAGCGGCGACGTCGGGCACCCAGAAGTCCATGATGTCATGGTACATGTGCTCGGGGCGGCTGTGCGGCTGGCGGGCGAGCTCCCTGTTGGCGTCTGCTGGGATCTCCACCGACGCCAGATGGCGCATGGGCTGGATAGGGCCGCCAAGCATGTCCTCGAGCGTTGCCGTGAGCACTGCCGCCGATGTACCGGGGGCGTCGATACCTGAGAAGGCAGTCGCGTACGTCGTGGCGTGGATGGCGCGGCGGAGGTCGCACAGCACCCCGCTGCCAAGCTCCGATGCAAGGGCGCGGAGAGAGTCGTGCGCCCAGCTGAACATGTCAGCGGCGTTCCTGACGACGGGCTTCTCCCAGCGCCACCGATCTGGCAACTGCTCCCGCGATGCTGCTGCTGGTGCTGCTGCTGCTGCTGGATGTGGCCGCGACGATGGCGACGGTGGCTGGCGCACCTTGCCAGCGGGCGTCTGGGCGACCGACATCCCTGATGAGTGAGACGCCCCACGGTGGAGGCTGCGCGCGTCGGACTCGCCGGGCTCGACCTTGATGTTGACGGAGACGGCGTCGACCAGCGGCGCGTCGTCGGAGGCGGCGTCGGGCTCGGGCTTCACGGCGATCGCCGCAGCCGCGGCTGGCGCCGCGCACGCACCCGCAGCAGCTGCATCATCGGAGCGCTGCACTGGCGCCGCCGATGCCAAGTCGCAGGGCTGCTGGAGCGCCGCCGACGCCAGCTCGCCAAACGCGACCGGGGCGGGTGACGTGGGCAGCCCGGCCAGCGGCGCCGGCAGGTCGGCTGGGGCCGCGAGCCGCTGCTGCTCGGGCGCCAGGCTGGGCGGCGCTGGCGGCTCGGACGTCGGCGGCACCGACCCGCTGGCCAGACTGGCCAGCGCCTCGCAGGCAGAGCCCTGGCGCGATCGGGCTGGGGATGCGGCGCCAGAGGCAACGCCTCCACTGTGCTCGCCTGCCGCTGCAGCATCGCCACGTGGCCCCGCAAGGTCCACGCCAGCGCTGGCGTCCGCACCGTCGCCGCCATGCGACGCACCGTCGCACGCTGGCTGCAGTGATGGGCTGGATGCGGGGGCGCCGCTTGTGCCGTCGACACCTGCGCCGGCTGCTGCCCCCGTGGCCGCCTGCACCCGCGCCACCACAGCTGCTGGCTCCACTCCGAGCTGCACCAGCGCCGTCGCGCAGGCGAGCTGGGCAGCATCATCGGCGGCAGCCGCCAGCCTAGCTGGCAGCGGCGCCGACGCCTCGAACAGGGCATCACCATCACCGTCCGGACCACCGCCGCTCGCGAGCACCAGGGCAGCAGACACCGCAGCCGGCGCGGCCTTGGACTTGGCCGCGGTCGCAGCGGGCGGGCCTCGCCGCGCGCCGTCAGGCTGACCCGCGGCTGGTGCACCCACTGCTGGCGCGCGGGGAGCGCGGGCGGCGGCCTTCGCGGCCTTCGGGCTGGCCGCCGGGGTGGTGCGGCGCTGCAGCACTCGGCGTACGTCTGGCACCCCAGCTGGCGCGGGTGCGTCCCGCTTGGCATGGCGGCGGGACGTCATTAGGATGCAGCTGGACCGCCGGGGCCCTGAACATGGAAGCCAAAATGGCTACGGAATGTGCACGGTGGATGGGTGCAGTGACTCATTAGGACACGCGTGCGTTGGCACGGCACGTGACACGTGAGTGGTGCGAGTGCCCCGGGTAGTGTTGCCAACTAATCGGCGTGTTCACGACAGAGACCAGAGTGAGTTGGCGGCGTGCAATGCTGAGTCCAGGAACTACAATACGTGTACACAACCATACAGGACGTGAGCACTGAATGTAATGGTCCCGCACATAGGACCAGGACGTGGTTCCTGGATTTGATGGTGTGGGCAGCAGATCCAGGAAGTACTTCCTGGATTTGGGCATGGGATGGCCCAAAACCAGGAACCACGTCCTGATAATGCGCCGAACTGCAGCTGGGGCCAGGAACTGGTTCCTGATTCACCCGCCCACGCGAGGAACTGCTTCCTGGATTAGAGCCCCCCTGGAGCTGGGAGTCAGGAAGTGGTTCCTGGATTTCGGCGGTGACTAGGCAGATCGGGGAAGTGGTTCCAGGATTTGTACCGACGTGGCCACATAGGGCCCAACACCCAGGAAGTGGTTCCTGACGTGGGAAAGGCGAGTCCATAAACCACGTCCTGACCACGGGCTGAACGGCGGCTGGATCCAGGAACTGGTTCCTGGGTCACCCGCACAGGCGAGGAACTGCGTCCTGGTTTAGGGCCCCCCCCTGGAGCTGCGAATCAGGAAGTGGTTCCTAGAATGCGCCCATGACGAGGCCGATCGGGGAAGTGGTTCCTGGGTTGGCGCCGATGTGGCCCCATAGGGTGGCCCATCCAGGAACTGGTTCCTGGCGGGGGCCTGATTCGCCCGAGCACGCGAGGAACTGCTTCCTGGATTAAGGACCCCCCCCCCTGGAGCCGGTCATCAGGAAGTGGTTCCTGGAGGTCGGTGTTGGCGGGGCCGATCGGGGAAGTGGTTCCTGGATGTGCGCCGATGTGGCCCCCATAGGCCCATCACCCAGGAAGTGGTTCCTGGCGGGGAGAGGCGAATCCGTGCCCCACGTCCTGACCACGGGCTGAACGGCGGCTGGATCCAGGAACTGGTTCCTGAGTCACCCGCCCAGGCGAGGAACTGCGTCCTGGATCAGGGCCCCCCTGGAGCTGCGAATCAGGAAGTGGTTCCTAGAATGCGCCCAGGACGAGGCCGATCGGGGAAGTAGTTCCTGTATTGGCGCCGATGTGGCCCCATAGGGTGGCCCATCCAGGAAGCGGTTCCTGGCGGGTTCCTGATTCACCCGCCCACGCGAGGAACTGCTTCCTGGATTAGCCCTCCCCCCCACCCATCGGAGCTGGGAATCAGGAAGTGGTTCCTGGGTGCCAGTGCTGGCGAGGCCGATCGGGGAAGTGGTTCCTGGATTTGCGCCGATGTGGCCCCATCGGGCCCATCACCCAGGAAGTGGGTCCTGGCAGAGGAGAGGCGAACCCATGCACCACGGGCTGAACAGCGGATGGATCCAGGAACTGGGTCCTGCGTCACCCGCACATGCGAGGAACTGCGTCCTGGATTAGGGCCATCCCTGGAGCTGCGAATCCAGAAGTGGTTCCTGGAATGCGGCCCTGACGAGGCCGATCGGGGAAGTGGTTCCTGGATGTGCGCCGAGGTGGCCCCATAGGTTGGTCCATCCAGGAGGTTGTTCCTGGCGGGTGCCTAAGTTGTCCGCCCACTCGAGGAACTGCTTCCCGGATTAGCCCCCCCCCCCTGGAGCTGGGAAACAGGAAGTGGCTCCTGGAGGTCGGTGTTGACGAGGCCGATCGGGGAAGTGGTTCCTGGATGTGTGCCGATGTGGCCCCATATGGCCCATCACCCAGGAACTGGTTCCTGGCGGGGGAGAGGCGAACCCATGCGCCACGTCCTGACCACGGGCTGAATGGCGGATGGATCCAGGAACTGGTTCCTGGGTCACCCGCCCAGGCGAGGAACTGCGTCCTGGATTAGGGTCCCCTGGAGCTCCGAATCAGGAAGTGGTTCCGAGCGGTCGGCCCTGACGAGGCCGATCGGGGAAGTGGTTCCTGGATGTGCGCCGATGTGGCCCCATAGGGTGGCCCATCCAGGAAGCGTTTCCTGGCGGATGCCTGAGTTGCCCGCCCACGCGAGGAACTGCTTCCTGGATTAGCCCCCCCCCCTCCCCCCGCCCCCCCCCCCTGGAGCCGGGAAACAGGAAGTGGTTCCTGGAATGCAGTGGCGGCGAGGCCGATCGGGGAAGTGGTTCCTGGATGTGTGCTGCCGTGGCCCCATAGGGCCCATCACCCAGGAAGGGGTTCCTGGCGGGGGAGGGGCGCACCCAGGACCCACGGCCTGACCACGGGCTGAACGGCGGCTGGATCCAGGAACGGGTTCCTGAGTCACCCGCCCAGGCGAGGAACTGCGTCATGTATTATGGCGCCATCTGAGCTCAGAAGCAGGAAGTGGTTCCTAGAATTCGGTCCTGACGCGGCCGATCGGGGAAGTGGTTCCTGGTTGTGCGCCGAGGTGGCCCCATAGGGCGCATCATCCAGGAAGCGGTTCCTTGCTGGGGGGGGGGCGGCGCCAGGAACCACGTCCTGTGAGTGGGTGGCATGCAGTTGCCACTGTAAGACGTGGGTCCTGGGCAGTGGGGCCCTGTTGGTTCTCAAATAAATGCCCGGGGGGGAGGGGGGTGCAGGGCCGCCCGGGATCGCCCTGAGCCCTCCTGGGCAGTTTTGCGAGGACCCAAGGGGATCCGTTGTGGTACTTGAAAAAACTGCCCGGGTGGGGGGGGGCGGAGCGACCTCGGGTGGCCCGGATCCCTCCGCGGGAACACATCTGGCGCTGCGGGTCAGGACGTGGTTCCTGGATGGGGGCAGTGGCGACGCCGACCGGGGAAGTGATTCCTGGAGTTGAGCCGATGCGGCATCGCGTCGTAGTCGTAGCCGACCCCGACGGGGATCATGGCTTAGGTGGAGGGGGCAAACAACGCAGCCGCTGCATGGGAGTGGGCGGGACGAATATGGGACGTCCGGCATCCAAGGAATCATTTCTCCGAGTCGGGGTGGGTGACGACGGTGACGACGATCGCTCGCATGCAGCGGCAGCGGCGCTGGCGGGCACCCCGCCTCGATGTGGCCCCTCCCCGCGCACAGGTGTGACCACGGACCCGTGGAATGTGCCCGTGTTGATGGGGTCCACGATGTACGGTCGCCTGGCGGGCACGGGGGCGATGGGCAGAGCGGGGAGGGGGAGCGATGGGCGGAGGCCAAGGCGACCACCCGTCCACCAGCATCTCGCCACTGTCTCGGCACCATGGTTGTGCCACCTCACTCGCCACGACCCTTACACAAAACACGACAGCATTCGACGTCGCAATCTACAGTCGCTGGAAATCAGCATCACACGGACATGCAAGCATACGCACCAGGCACATGACAGGTGGATACGCGTAACTGCACTGAGCGGTGGAGGCAACGCGCAGTGCACACACATCCGGACCTGAAAGCAAGGCTAGGGGACGCAAGCATGCTGGCCTGCAACACATCAAGTAATGCACTGGGTCATCACGCGGCTGGACGACGGATCCACGATCGACACAGTCCACACAGTAAGGTATCATTGTGCACAAATTCTGAAAACATACCCACGAGCCAATCGCCCGCGTCCTCTGGCGGCGCCAGCACATGATAAGCGCCGGCGTCGTGGGTGGCAAGACGGGCAGAACATTCCCTGTGCATAGGTAAAAGGCAGAGACCACATTCTTGCACGCTCCCCATCGCAGAGCCACATACCATACAGTCCGAAACTGCATCCAGTGGGCCAGCTCCAACGTGATCCACCATACGTAGCAACCTATGGAGCGACTCAGCTATGGGTAGGAGGTGAGGTGGCATGACTAGGATGACTGCTAGAAATTTACAGGTTACCATTCTGAATGAAGAGACGTGTGTGAGTCGCGCCATCTAGTATACCATCCATGCAATATATACATAAAATACGCAAGTACGATACACACTTACAAACAAACTAACCATGAATACATGCACCGCGCACACAGAGCACACGCACCCACTCGCATCCATGCCAATCGCAGAGCACAAGCCCCAGGCGACAGGACCACGGGTCCCACGAGTCGGTCCCCACACCCGCTGGTCAATTGCACGGTGCACGCGCACCTCCCTTACCACGTGCCACGCCTGCGCACCCATCGCACATGGCAGATCGCACCCGCAGGACGGCAGGGGCGGGGATGGGGGCGAGGTGGCGGGGTGGGGTAGGGAGACGGACGTCGCGAGCACGGGGGTGAGGCTGAAGAGGGAGGGCGATGAGGTCATCAGGGTCGACGAGGCTGGCATCAGACAGACAGACGTGGTCGGGGGTGCATGCGGTTGTGATATTAGAATTACCTTGGCTAGAGGTGCGTATACATTTGCATGACCCCGTGAGTCCTGATAATATGCTCTGGAATTTCAGCCCGAAATACACCACGGCCCTTCAGGACTGCAACCCCGATGGTAGGAAGAATAATCGTGGCAGATCTGAGATCTCTGGCAGGGAAGAATCCAGCTGTCGGGTAAACTGCCCGGCCATCCTCAATCCGTATCAATCGACCTGTACGACCCTCTGTGTTCACCCAATGGACGAGGTATGACGTGGGCCCTCCGATGGCCACATCAGGAGTCCATACTAGCCCCATCTCCAAGACGTCCCCAGCGCGACGCCGAACTCCGCCAAGAGGCGTGGCCGAAGCACGAGGGATCAGTCTGAGCGCATCGGCACCATGCACTGCCGATCGCGCCCACGCAGTGAGCAACTCGATCACATGACGAGCTTCGTCGTAGGGGTCATCGTCGGGAGGTGGATCTGGGGGTGGGTCATCGCCGTCGCCGCCGTCACCTGGTGCTGCTGCTGGTGCTGCTGCTGGTGCTGCGCCGCCGCCGGTGCTGGCTGCTCCGTCTAGGCCCAACTTAGCCACATCGTGTGCGCGTG